CTTCCATGAATGATAATCGTTTAAACTCTTTGGCGATTCTAAATATTGAATCACAGTTGACAAATTCATTAAACTATGATGAAATAATTGAAGATTTTGCAAGATCAAATGCGCGACGAAAAAAAATTAATTGAATGATATTTTAATATATGATAATTTAACATATGAAAATAAATTAAAATAATAAAATAAATTAATACATTTTACAATTGGCTTTAATTTTTTTGTTATCATGGGTACTACTAAGAAAACCTACGATATTCAACATTCTAGGACACTCGATAGTATGCATGATACTATTATTAGCATATCACATGTATTGAAGTTTTTTTAGGATAAGAAAAATTGCTACAACAAAAAAAAATGGTGAGAGGAATAGGGCATTAAAAAAATGTGCACCCGGGGCAGCAAAATCCTAAATACGCCACTGAGCAAGACGAGATATTGGTTGAATGTATAGCTAAACATCCCCCAATTTACAATCCCGAAAATAGGGATTATAAAGATTTGAATATACGAGATGCAATTTGGAAGGATATAAGTGGCAATGTTAGGCGAAGTGGTAAGCAAAATATTATAAATATTGTTTGTAAAAAGTATTATATTTGTAGGAATAATAATATATTAATGGTATAAATAATTTTTTTCAAATAATACATTGAGATTAAGTATATTTATTTTGAATATCATTATTATAATATTACGAGTAGAATAAGATGTGTACTACAGATCGTTTAAGTTTAAAATGAACTATTATTTTCAAGTAAATACTTTGACACTGTCTATTAATGAATGATTATTATTTATTTTAGAAGTGATAAATGCACATGGACGTGTACTGTGTGCATCTTTACTTTAAGCTAAAAATAAATTATAATTTCTGGACGTTTATCTTTATCGTTTATATAATATCAAAACTATTTTTAATCTCCGTGATATATATTTTTTATTATGAATCATTTTTAGAAAAACCAAATAATTGTAATGTTAGAATTTTTGCGTGAGACCGTCACTTATATTACCATTACTAAATATTATACATATCAACTTATATTTAGCAGCAGTTAAAACTTATTATTTATTTAAAAAAAAAACAAATTACAAGTATAATTTAAATATTGGTAGATGTTCTGGAAATTTGATGATTTTGCCACGAGACTATTCCTTCTTGAATAAAAAATTGTTTAAATTTTTCCCTCACATCAAAACCATCTGCACTCGCAAAGCCACCTCTACTACATAAAGTGCCCATCGCAGTAGTTTGTCCTTCGTCATATTCATAAAAAATCTTATTACCTTTTTCCAAAAACGCATCTCTCAGCATATTGTGCAAACAACATGCGACAGTTACTAAATCGTCACA